CCGTGCCTCCTACCAGTGCTAACTACCCCTTACCCTAAGGTAAAGGAGGAGAACCCCCACCCCCCACCCCCAGCACACTCGGGGCAGTCAATCATCGAGCAGCAAAAGACCAACAGAGGTAGACCCAAAGGTGACTTGTGGAAGATAACCCCAAGGACAGTAACTACAGGGCACATAGGGAAGGGAACCCTAAGTGCATGCAGCCCAAGTACCAGAGAAGATTACTCCCAGCTCACGCACCACCCTTAAGACAGCACTAAACACAAGGCACAGCACTGAGACAAGAAACAGGAGCTGGAGTCACACGACCAAGACTCAATCACATCAGCCGAGAACTGAAGGTGTGGGTAGCCGGCATGAGGGGGTCTGGGGGAATGGGGAGTTCTACTGTACCTGAAACTTATCCCTTAAACATCATGCTATTTTCTATTTCCCAATCAAAGATTTTATTAATACCAGCTTGTGGATTTTCAGTGTCTTTTACAGAGGTAATTTTCGTCCTGATTTTTATATAATTTGCAAAGGATGACACAAAGCCATGACATTTGAAGCTTTGGGTCTTGCTAACAAGCTAGCATGACCAGAAGCACTAAAACAGCCTCCGTGGTGTAATGGTAAGACACTCTCCTGGCATTCGGCGAGCGCTTTGTCATGGGTTCGTATCGTGGCCGGGGAGGATTTACTGGGCGCAATTCCTTAACTGTAGCCTCTGTTTAACGCAACAGTAAAATGTGTACTTGGTTGTAACAACGATTCTTCGAGGGGGTCGGATTCCAGGGACCTGCCCGAAACGCTATGCATACTAGTGGCTGTACAAGAATGTAACAACTCTTGTATATATCTCAAAAAATAAAAAAAAAGGTGTGAAGACACATCAGCAGAACTGGGTTGGGGAGCCAGCTATAAGCCAGGACCAGGTCACCTGGTGGTGGTAATCAGTGCTAACGAGTTTCAAGCTTGTTAAGAGTGAATCACTTGTTTTGTGCAACTCATTTGAGAGTCTCAAGGCTTTGATTTCTGTGAACCCTCCAGTTGTGTGTTCAATTACAAAACAGTGTGATAACTTTCTGGAGGCTTTTTCTAGTAATGTGATATTATCTCCTTACTAGAAAAACAAACCCCAAACAGAGCTTCCGCAGTTGATGTGATCTTTTAGTATGAAGCAATCAGTTTCTAGGAAGATAGCTTTCTGGAGGGAGCCGTAAGAAGCTCCCTCCAGAAAAAAATCATAGTGGACTCCCATTTAAACAGAAATCAATGCACCGTAAAGCAAAATGCAACATAAGGATTCTGTTTCAGTAGTACGATAATTATACTAGACTGTTGTAACTGAAAATAATGGTAGTCTTTCAGTGAGTAATGTACATTAACTGAGCTATAATTTTGTGCAAAAAATATAGAAAAATAGTTTTCTGGGGAAAGCCCTGAAAGCTACTTTTTACTGATATAGTACCATCTACTAGGTCACATCAACTGTGGAGTTCTATAGGCTTAATGTGGACCGGCACCAAAACATGGCCCACTCAAAGAGGCGTAGGAAATGGTGACATTTATTTTCACCACCTCACCAGACAAGTTAGCTAGAAGGCCAGCGAGTCAAAACAAACCACTGCTGGCTTCAAAAGAGAATAAAACTGCAAAATCTGCCTAAAGCACAAGCTATAAATCTAGCACAAGCTCATTCGCTCCATCTCTCCCATTCATTTGGAGGGAGGTAGGTCACCACCAGCCAGCCTCACAGCCCTTAGTTTTAGTGCTGATGTAGTATGTACCAGGTTGCCTCTCTTCCATACTGGCTCTGTTGTTCTGCTTGTTCCACTAAGTAGTAGTGTTTGCCATTAGTGGCACTTCCTATTCAGTGTGTAGTGTGAACCAAGGTTTGAGTGTGTTTGGAGTGGCATGTGCACACGGTTACCTTCCCTGTGTGGTCCATGGTGCTGCCCTTGCATCACCAGGGTTCCCTAGTGTTTGGAGGGCACACCTTAGTCCTCCTCGTTTGTGGTGGTCCTTGTTCAGGGAGTCAGGTGTCTCAAAACTATCCTGTCTTAACTCAAGCCAGGAGCAACTTTGGCTGGCAGGGGGGGGGGGGGGTGCATACTGGTGGTTCATGCACTTTTCTCAGCACATCGAGGTCAGCCTTCACATCCATGTTGCTCTTAAACTAAGTTATAACCGACTCCATAGCCCACTAAGTAAACAAAATTTATTAGGATATTAGAGCAAATTAGGTAAAGAATACAAAAAAGTCTTCCATACAAAGGCACATCCTTCAGCAAAACTTTAATAAATGACCTCTAATAAATGACCTCATTGGAGTAAACTTAAAAAACACAATTTAGCTCTAGCTATGTTGTGTTAATTAAAAAGACAACAATTAATTATCTATTTATTAATTCTTAAAAAAGCAGAACCTTAACATTTTTTGTCTCAGGTACATGATAAGAGAAAAAATTCTTTCAGAAAACAGTGTTGAGAATGCTGGACAAAATACATTTCTAAAATGTTAAGTTTAAATTATTCAGACTTTTAAATGAGATGCTGACAAAATACAGCACTAAACTTACCATTAAACTAATAAAAAGGCCAGTTTTGTTTAGTGGCTGTCCATCTTGTAAGCTTTAATAAATGATGGAGCACAAAAGCCAATATATAATTACAAAGACTAGTGTAAATTATTGCAGCATAAGAAAATAAACAAAAGGAATCTCAGTTTGCACACGGCCCCAACCATTTGACTTCATAAAGTATACATATGTGAACTCTTGCCAAGGTGTGTAAAAACTTTAAATTACATCTTCAGGTAAAAAATAAAAAATTACATACTGTACAATATTTTAAGTGAAAATATTTGTATTGTAATATCCTTTAAAATAAGTAATATTAGTTTTTGTTAAACAATTGCTGTCATATTATATAATATATATATATATATATATATATATATATATATATATATATATATATATATATATATATATATATATATATATATATATACTGTATATATGTATATATGTATATATGTATATATATATATATATATATATATATATATATATATATATATATATATATATATATATATATATGTCGTACCTAGTAGCCAGAACTCACTTTTTGGCCTACTATTCAAGGCCCGATTTGCCTAATAAGCCAAGTTTTCATGAATTAATTGTTTTTCGACTACCTAACCTACCTTACCTAACCTAACCTAACTTTTTCGGCTACCTAACCAAACCTAACCTATAAAGATAGGTTAGGTTAGGTTAGGTAGGGTTGGTTAGGTTCGGTCATATATCTACGTTAATTTTAACTCCAATTAAAAAAAATTGACCTCATACATAATGAAATGGGTAGCTTTACCATTTCATAAGAAAAAAAATTAGAAAAAATATATTAATTCAGGAAGACTTGGCTTATTAGGCAAATCGGGCCTTGAATAGTAGGCCAAAAAGTGAGTTCTGGCTACTAGGTACGACATATATATATATATATATATATATATATATATATATATATATATATATATATATATATATATACTGTATATATATATATATATATATATATATATATATATATATATATATATATATATATATATATATATATATATATATATATATATGTATAATTTATTTATTTATTTTAGTGCTTCAATATATTTTCTAATTATTTATAGGTACAGTATTCTGCTTTACTATATTCATCCGAAATCAAATACTTAAGTCGTAAATTGTTAAAACAGGCTCCTTCACACTTAGTCACAGAACAACTATGAATTATGAAAAATAAAACTGCTATAAAAATTGTATTTTACACAATTTTCCCACTCTTAATGCCCAGTGCTAATGTTCTTCATACTCAAAACATCTAGCATGCCGAGTATCACTTCCAGTTTGAAAGTGAATCATTACCTATTTACATTGCAAATTGTTTTAACATTATATGAACTGTCTTAAAAGGTTTATGGAGGACCTACAAGAGGAAATAGTCAATAAGTGAAGCTATCTTCCAGGGATAATGGAAACAGTAGTATAACTTGAAATACAAATTTATAGATAATACCTTTGCTATATTAACCAAGGTAAATTTTCAAACACTATTCATATTTGGCATTGTGGGATATTACTGTATTACCACTAAAAACTATTTAGTTCCAGTGCCTTACCTTTGACCTAAATTATCACCACTTAAAACAGACAGTATTTTTATTAGTGAAAACTTTTACTAGTGAAATTTTTGTGGGATGCCATATTAAACGTTACTGTCAAATACCCAATTAACTTTGCAGTAGTGTCCCTTTTACCAAATTTCCAAACAACATACATTTGAAAAAGTTTGAGTATGTCTCCACCAAATAGTATATACATAGATAAAGGAAGGTTAATCACACTTATCCCAACACTGGAGGGTGCCACAAAATATTCCAATAGAAATTTTAACCTACAGCATTTGTAACTAATTTTCATCTGTACCAGAAAACTTTGCAATAGAAATTTACATATTCCTAGCTAATTTTTATTTAAATATATATTAAAAAAAATTATATTAGGTCAGGCAAAAGTGCTAAGCCAACATGACAATATAACACATGAAAGGGATATGAGAATAGGATAGGAACTGGGATAAAGGACGGAGTGAGGGTACCCAACCACTAATATTACATAAACATATACCAGTCCCAGTTACTCTGTTATTAGGGTGGGGGACAGGGAGAAAACTTCACTATTTCCATTCGACCCTCTTGAATGCCACTTTCCATGCTTTGCTTACATACAGCATGTTATGTTTCTCGCTTGCTCGATACATCTACCTCATGCTGTTGGCCTTCCTCCTACCTATAAATTTCCTTAAATATGTTTTGCCACTTTCATACCATCAATTAACTCAGCATGACAATGCCACTGTTGTATGCATTCTCTATCTTATGAATACCAGACATTTTCTTCTTTATAAATTTGTATAACATCAATTCTTGACATGTCTATCATTAAACCACACATGCCCCTTATATTATTCATCTCTGCTACCCTAACGCTCGGAGTGCCACACCAGTGGGACCACCTGCATCATTCAGCTCGCTCGATATATCCTTTCTTGTTATTCTGCTCTTCTTCGTCTGGACTTTCATTAAAACATTCACCTTTTCCTTCCACTGATTTTTTCAACTTGCACAAACTCTTAGTTTGTACATCCCACATTCTAGGCATTTAAACTCCAACAGATTCCAATACTAAATACACTTTGATTTCACATGTACACTACATTCACAAAATGTTCAATAATCCTTCATAGATCTCTCATTTCCAGGCAGAACCACCATGTTTACATCATGACTTACAATAATATAAAGTACAGTACAGTACCCTATTATCTTATGCAAAATTCACACACACACCTATCCAACACTCGTCTCAGCCAGAGAGAGTACATTTAAGTTTAAAGGAAAATACGTAATCCCTAAAAGGGCAGTATGGAATATTAATCTTTTAGCAAATCATGGAAAAAACTTACAAAATGTGGGGATAAAAGAACATTCAGAAGAAAAAAAAGGGGAATCTTTTTACTTAAGATAATATTAATGATCTTGTGTAACAAGCCAGCCACTGTGCTTGTCACACTAATGCCTTCATGTGTAATTTAAGCTATCTTCTTCATACGTTACCAAAATCGTGTCTTCACAGGGTAACTAAAGCCAACTAGAAACTCACACGGTATGCTTTTGAACAAACTAATATTTGCTTTCAATTATCTGAAAGATTGTATTTCTCAAAGTTATAGTCAATTCAGTATTCTCTATTGTAGACCAGTATTATGAGAAAAAGATACCTTATATACAAAAATATAATTAAGCTTTGTATACATATGGGTACAGTAAAGGTAACAAACATCCACACATTTTTTTTCAATGTAAGTACTGGACAGTAATTTCAATTAGTGCCACTAATGTATGATTCACATATAATCAGAGTTGGTAATAGAATATAGTCATCAATTACACCAGCAATGCAACATTTACATTGCTTAACCCCTACAGTACAGAATATATAACCTCTACAGTGAGTTTTCAATACCAGATTGTTCTGTAGCAGCAAACAACCATACATATATACTGTGTTATGGACTTGGAGATTTCTGTAAGATGTCCTATGTACAGTGCTCAAGCCCATTGCAGGAGTTCTAAAAAATACATATGCCATACAATAAATTTAATACAATACACCCCAACCCCAATCTTCACTTCATCAAGTACTGTATCTTATATATACAGTACAGTACTACAAGTCATTATATTGACTACCGAGTAAACACAAGACTGATGGCCATCACCTGCTGTTTACAAATAATTATATAGCTCTGCACCATAAATCTATTGTAGTGAATAAATGCAAGTTATTGGTGCTCAATACTGCTGTTGAAAAAAGAAAACCAGTACCTCTATTTGTCACTGTCCAACCACACCACAATTCCATACCATGAGTGTAAATACCTAATTTCTTGATGTGCTTATTTGTCATGATTTATTAACATATTTCTTACTCTGTACAGTATAGTTATTACTGTATATACCACTTTGTCTATGTTTCTCGTCACAAATTATTTTATTTTTTAACCAGTCTCGATTCCTTTCCTTCATTTATTTCCATATCTGTTTTCCATGCATGTCCAGCTCTGGCCTGCAAAATTACTTAGGTACTTGTTCACAAATGGCTGCGCTAGTTACATTTAGAAATTCACTTTATATCAATGGCTAAACACATTTATTTTTACCTAGAATATGATGTAAGTATGCATGTTATAAACATTCTTACTCAAATTTTCTTAAAAAAAAAATTATGTTATAAATTTTTGCATCATTGCTCTCGTTATACTCTGCAAGTACAAGTTATACTACGTATATCTTGTATGTTTTCTTAGTGTAAGCCCAACACTATCTTCTCTACCTTAAATCTCATTAACTATGATCATTTGTTATGCAATTTTGTTTTGAAAATATTCATAATAAAATATACAAACATACAAAGTGAGTATAATCCAACATAAAAGTACAGCATATATTTCTTTTGCCATATAGCAGCTACTGTTGTAAAAGTTCTACTTTACACATTATTCACATTTTCTAAAATATAAAACGATTTTAATATGTAGCAATTAAACACTTTAAGAATGCTATTTGTGGATGCATAAAAATGTTTCAAGACTACTGTATCCAAAAGTCATGTTTATTTTGGTACACAATCATTGAGATACTAATAACTATGCTTTAGACAATGTGTGTGCAAAGACCAAGCTATGTATATAATACTTAACAATATGACATACATTACAATAGTTAAACAATGCTTCACTTAAGATTATATTTCCCCAGAGCCCTTACCAATGTTGTATAAAACAAAAGTAATAATGTAGAAATGAAATGACAGCTGATACACAAAAATCAACTCTGAAGTCACACAAATCATGTGTTATTTCCTTGTCATCAAGCAATGCTCAACACTTGAAAATTACCCAAAATAACATTAACCATCTCAACCTAAGATATATACAACTTTATTAAATTCAGTTATTGAGAGATTTGTCACCATCTCCACAAGGTATACAACTGGACACAACTTCTAATTGAAGAAATAATACATAATTCACATGACTTCAAGTTCATTTAAGCTTTCTTCTAGGAGCACAATATACAGTAATTTCTTAATATCTGCACTTATTATTATACCATTATTGATATACTGTACAGTTGAAATTTTGTAAAGGCTTTCTAAACATAACCTTTTATCTTTTAATTTGACAACTTAAGATCATATTGCTCTTAATGAGAAACAAGTTAAATAATACACTACTGTATAGAAAATTGTGCGAATTGTCTTTCTTTCTTTTTGAAAGAAACTGATCATTTATGAATAGATTGCAACATTTTACAAGGCAAACATCTAATCATCATAAAAACATTGGGTTTTGTATCATATGATACCACTACACCATTTGAACTTTCTAATATTTTTATGTACACCTGTAACTGTATCTGTGCAATCAAGTTTGTCATTTTTCCTGATCCTCAAACTTCCCTCTGGTCAAAACAGTTTTCAGCTTTTCCATTTCTAAAGATATTTTGTTTAATATATCTGTTTTTTCTTTCTTCATCTTATGAAGCTCTTCTATTGCAGCATCCTCTTCAACTTTTGATATTTCCATGATTTCCTCAATTTTTCGTTTTACCCTTTCTATGTTTGAAACTGTGTTCTTAATGCCGCCACCACCACCTTGATCTGCACGATCAACAGTATTGTCATATTTCTGGTCAGTTTCAACTTCAGTCTCGCCTTCATCATGAACATGAATTTTTGTCCTAGTAAAACTTTTCAAACTCTTATCTATTTTCTGATCACTGTCAAACTCTTTTTTACATTCACTTGTATGAGTAAATTTAGCATTTTCATCTTCATTTTTGTTTGTTTGTGCATTATTCAGTCTGTCAACATTTGTATGTACAACTTTCCGACTTCCCTCTTCAACAGTTCCTACTAAGGTACTCTTGAACCCACAACCCTTCTCATCTACAACTTTATTGTCTTTAATTATTTTACATGTCTTTGAATCAAGTTTCACCACATTATTACATTCTGCTATTTTTCTCTCACCTTTCTTTGCATCAGAAGGCTTGTGTTTCAAAACTTCCTTTTGTGTATAATCTTGAAAATCTTCAGATCCACATCTGGTCATATTTGGAGCCTTGTCTATTATTTTCTCTCTGTTCAAAATATTTACTTCCAAGACATCATGACTGTGCAGGGACTCTCCATCATCCTCAACTTTTGAGCCCTCTTTATTGCCTTCTCCATCTTTGACATGTTTTGTGGGTAATGTATCTTGGCAATCTACGGCATCGCCTTGACTTGCACATTTTGTAGTTGATAATTTAACTTCATGCAAAATTTGCTGTCCATCATCACCATTTCTTTTAGGTTGTTTATTTACACCTTTAGTAAATTCAACTTTATGTTCAGAAAGGGCCCTAGGTCCAATGTTGCCCACCTCACTAGACTTTATTTGATTGTTGCTTTTAGTTTTATCAATATCAGCCTCTTTTCTTCTATCATGGCCACCAGACGGACCAGGTAACCTCTGTTTAGAATTTGCATGTTTATTGTGTGCAAAGTCATCATGCAGAGACTTGGTCTTGCTTTCCCCCGATATCAATGAAACCATTTCTACATTCTCATTCTCTGTCACATCATCTTTGACTTCACCTTCAGCCTCATCATCATAATCATCGCACTCCATTCTATCACATTCTTCCTCTGCTGCCATTTCATCAATATTGTCTACTGCAATACTATCCCTACTTTCTGCAGATGCTGTCTCATTCCTTGCTTCTTTGCTATTCAATATGTCATTTCTCGTTCTTCCAGGTTTTACAGCACTATCTTTATTTTCTTCCTCTGCCATGGCAACTCTTCTATCAAATCCTTTTTCCTTTGCATCAACTTCCTTCACCTCATCTGCAATTCCTTTCTTTTCTTTATTTATATCTTGTTTTTCATCTAAAAGATTTTTATTTTCTTTGTCTGATGCATCTTTATGTCTTTCAATTGACACATTTTCCTCTACTTTATTTGCCATATCTACCTTTACTTTACTTTCCATATCTTCCTTTGCTTCTTCTTCTGCAGCCGCCTTTACTTCATCTGCCACATCTTGCTTTGCTTCATCTGTCATGTGTTGCTTTGTTTCACCTGCCACATCCTGCTTTGCTCCATCTCCTACATCTTGTTTTGCTTTACCAGCCACATCTTGTTTTGCTTTACCAGCCACATCTTGCTTTGCTTCCTCTGCTACATCTTGCTTTGCTTCCTCTGCTACATCTTGCTTTGCTTCCTCTGCTACATTTTGCTTTTCTCCATCTGCTACATCTTGCTTTGCTTTACCAGCCACATCTTGCTTTGCTTCCTCTGCTACATCTTGCTTTACTTTACCAGCCACATCTTGCTTTGCTTCCTCTGCTACATCTTGCTTTGCTTTACCTGCCACATCTTGCTTTGCCCCATCTGATACATCTTGCTTTGCTTTACCTGCCACATCTTGCTTTGCCCCATCTGATACATCTTGCTTTACTTTACCTGTCACATCTTGCTTCGCTCCATCTGATACACATTCCTCTGCCACAGCTTCCGTTTCCTTTCCGGCTAGATCTTGGTTTATTTCATTCGCCGTTACATCCTTCACGTCGCCTACCACAACTTTCCTCACGTCATCTGCCAAAAGTTCTCTTGCATCATCTGCCACAATTTCCCTTATTTCACCTGACACAACCTCATTCTCATTGAATGTCACCTTCTCTTTTTCATCAACTAACACGTTGCCTTCCTTATCACTTGCCATATCTTCCACGATATCAATCATCGCTTTATTTTCTTCACCTGGCATATCATCGTTGTCGTCACCTGCCATATTATCTTCAAATTCTAAACCTTCCATATCATCGTCATTGTCTTCGCCTGCAATATCATAGTCAATGTCTGCACCTGGCATATTATCTTCATTGTCTTCACCTGTCATATTATCTTCAAATTCTAAACCTACCATATCATCTTCATTGTCTTCGCCTGCAATATCATCGTCAATGTCTGCACCTGGCATATCATCGTCAATGTCTTCACCTGCCATATCATCTTCAATTTCTAAACCTACCATATCATCCTCATTTTCTTCACCTGCAATATCATCTTCATTGTCTTCACCTGTCAAATTATCTTTATCTGCTTTACTTGATGCATATTCCTTATCAATGATTGACACATATTCCTTCTCATCATCTACCAAATAAACTTCTTTTCCTTCACCTGCTAGAGCATCTTCATTTTCTTCATCTGTTACATCGTCTGTATCTTCACCTTCCACATTCTCTTCCGTTTCTTCACAGGCCACTACTTCATCTACTATTTCTTCAACCACTCCACCATCTTCTGTTACTTCACTATCATCATCATCATCATCTGTTTCTTCACCTGCCATCATGTCATCATCTGTTTCTTCATCTGTTTCTTCACCTGTTAGTAAATCATCATCTTTTTTCATTCCTGCCCTGTCTCCACTTTCTCTTTCTTCACATGTCATATCTTCATTTTCTTCATCTGTAATCAAATCATCATCATCTTCAACATCCTCATCCTCCTCCTCCTCTTCCTCCTCCTCCACCTCCTCTTCCTCCTCCTCCTCCTCCTCCTCCTCCTCTTCCTCACCACCACCAGCACTTGCCATTACATCCTTCTCTTTGTGTCTATCCTTCAACTTTATTTCTACACCTATATCATCAAACATTACTTCTCGTGCCTCACAAGTTGTTCCCTTAAGATCTTTTATCACGTCCTCATTTGTATTACAGCTACTTTCCCCTGATGCATAAACACACGTGTCAACAATCATAGCCTTTTTCTTCTCTTGTATGTTCTCACGTTTGATACGCTCTTCATTTTCCTTCTCTGTCCTTCTCACAAATGAATCTATGGATTCATCACTTTCCTCGGTATTTTGCTCCATCATGGCTTCAAAGTAGCCTCCATCATGCTCCTCCTTATCCTTCACTTCAGTTCCTGAATCTTCACTAACATTCATTATTTCACATACAGAGTTCTCATCCTCCTTGTTACTATGGTCAAATTCCAGAGAAGACATTTTTGTACTTCAGGCTACTGACTTCATATAAAAATTCAACATATTCTCTTAGCAGCCACAAAAGTGCGTTCTTATTTCAAAACTTGCCAGGCAGTGATTTTTTTTCCCCAAGACTGCCGATGAAAAGATACAGTATCTGAAACATGAAGATGAAAAATACACAAGCTTGTAAATGTCTTATCTGGAAGTCAAGAATTTTTTTAATTATCCTTACTTCTAACTTAGATAATAAAAAAAACATTAAGACATGAATATATCTGCCAGCTATCATGAATATAATTGATTAAAGATGAGAACTCTAATGACAAAATCCCCGACAATGTATAAATGCAATGGGAACTAAAGAACATTAGCAAACATAATTAACAAAAAAAATGAGAACAGTTAACATGTCCAATACAGCATTTAAAAATTATCAAATTCCAACTATCAAATCAATGAAAGCATTATACTGTACTATGTGAAACAAAATCTATGTTCAGCAAGATGAGGATCTTAAGAATTTTTTACAGTTGGAAACACTTCAATTGTTCAAAAATGAAAACACTGTACTGTACATGTACTATCTTATTACAAAGAGTACAGCAAACATTAAAATTTATTCAATATACAAAAATATCGATTAGTAAAGTATATATTTCTCAGCCCCCTAAAAATTCAGCACTGAATGTAATGAAATGCACTTTTCTGGTGAGCCCCCATAAATGCACTTTTCTGGTGAGCCCCCATTAGTTCTTTGAGCTTAGCTCTGGTTTCACTAAGCCTTACCCCAACACACCCTACTTGTGTAAAGGAGGAAATGTATATGTTTATCTCTCAGAATGTTCGGTAATACGTTTATTGCTTGTGATGTGTGTCTATGTATGTATTAACACGATGGGGTGAGAATAGCTTGAGCTACCTCATCCATTTGTGTGTATTTTACATCAATAAACTTATTTCAATTTCCAACACACCCGGCCTCTGAGACCCCTGTGTTCCCTACTGGGAAAAAGGACCAGAATCTGCCTCACCCAAAAAGGAAAGGGGAACAGGAGAGCAGAAATCAACTACCAAATTGAAGAAAACTTGCCACTGAGCAAAGGTACAACAAAGCTTAAAAGAAATTGCCCATAGGTAAACAAGGCAAATGATCCTTGCCAAGGAGTAAATTCACTGTGATGTACCTGACTGCCACCAGGAGATAATCCAGGTCACCTGAGGTGTCAGCCAGCCCCCTCTCTCACCCAGGAACAGAAGACAATGAGCTACTGGGGCCCACCAGTAAGGGATATTTCATTGCATTCAATGCTTAATTTCTGGGAGGGTCTTTTTCATTAGTTCAAGTGCTTACCCATAACAGAAACTCAACAAACAAAAGTGAAATCAATCACCAGACTATGACACAGGAGACAAGACAAAATGGAATGAAGAGAACCCCCTGGAGCAGATAATGAACCAACAGGGCACAATCTGAATGGAGATGGAGCACGGAACCTGGGGGAATCTGGATTCATCGCAGGACATGCCACCCAGAACTAAGAGGCATGAGTTACGAGGAAAGGCTGCGGGAAATGCACCTTACGACACTGGAAGACAGAAGAGTAAGGGGAGACATGATCACAACCTACAAAATCCTCAGAGGAATCGACCGGGTAAACAAGGATAAACTATTCAACACTGGTGGGACGCGAACAAGGGGACACAGGTGGAAACTGAGTACCCACATGAGCCACAGAGACGTTAGAAGGAACTTTTTCAGTGTCAGAGTAGTTAACGGATGGAATGCATTAGGCAGTGATGTGGTGGAGGCTGACTCCATACACAGTTTTAAATGTAGATATGATAAGAGTCCAGTAGGCTCAGGAATCTGTACACCAGTTGATTGACAGTTAAGAGGCAGGACCAAAGAGCCAAAGCTCAACCCCCGCAAGCACAAATAGGTGAGTACAAATAGGTGAGTACAGTCATATCATGCTGTGCACCCAAGGAAGTGTGACCAACAACCCTGAGTAGCCTGGTAAGCACTGGTCATGAAGCCCCAACTCAGAGCCAAAGTATCCATAAAGACATCAAGTGAAGGAGGAAGAAGGCGCTAAATAGTGGAACCCCAAAAAGAGAGAGGAGAAAGCTACTTATGCAGTAGCTGGCAAAGGGCAATCAGCATCCAAAACCCAACAGTAGTGGCAGCGGTGAAAGGGGCAGAACCGAAGAAACCAGAACAGCCCCCAAAACCATACCCTGCCCAGTGGAAAAACTAGGCAGGCAAAGTTCTGGCTCCTGCACAACAGCTCAAGCAACTGCCGAGTCATCCGGAGCCACCTCAACACCCGCAGGCAGCAGCACTGCAGCCAAAGCAAAGTTGCTGGTTTTATGGAAAGCAAAACTGACTGAAAGTTCCATACAAGACCCAGCCAAGTCTGAACCTGAGACATGACTAATTAGGACTTTGCCAGGTCGCCAGGAACTAAAACCCAATGAGAAAGAACCAAATCGTTGGCTAGCAGATACATAGATTGACTGGAAGCCCACACCAAACAATCATCGAGGTAGGCCAGAATAAGAACTCCCAACAAGCAAAGACAACCACAACCCAAGCTATCCTGGTGAAAGCTCTGGGAGTCAGGTTCAAGCCAGAGGGAAGAACCAGAAAGTGGTAATTACTTTCTCTGTTCACTCAATCACTGCTGGGTGAACAGAGGTATACTGTTAAGGACTGGTGCCTAGTCCAATCCTTCCAGGATACGAACCTAGCCCAAATTGCTCACAAAAGCACAAGGCTAGTGTGTTACCACTGCACCACGGGGACTCTACCCCCAGCCTCACTCAAGCTCTCTGGGCTGCTCCAGACTTTGTCTCAGGTACTAAGACATTTCACTACATTGCCAACAAACTGACTGTTGTAACCAAGTCTATACCAAATAAATATAAAAAACCACTATACTCTGAGTCTTATCAACCAAATACATATACGTAAATATATGTTACAACTGAAATACCCTCCCCACTCAACTAAATGCAAAAGGCCTTCGTCCGAAGAGACAAAACCCAAATTGGGGTCCAAGGGAACCCACTGTCCCCCCATCTGACTCCTCCCAAGCTCTGGAAACTGGGGCAGTTTCCCTGGGGCAGAGCCAGTGTACATGTCCAGTGCCTAGGATACAAAAATGGATTCCGAGGAAGAGGCTTCAGAAGGGGCTGGCTGGAAGGAAAACCCTTAAAACATGGAGAGACCAGCCAACTGAATTGCCTCCGTGCTCAAATTGGAAGAAGCCACCTCTAGAGAACGGCCGAGTCACAATCTGATCTAAACCCTGCCCCAACCCAGAAACCTTTGACTGTTTCGAAGCTAACAATCCTCCAATTTTGCACAAGGTGAAAACAGGCATGGCGGGAATATCCATTGGCCACCCTGAACCTGCAGGGGGGGAAATTCAGTGTGGCAAAATTTAAATAACCAGGATTCTAAAAGCACTAGCAAGAACGAGAAGCAAAATAACAATGTGTTGATGCCAGCACCACATTTAGTTGAAAGCTAAAAAGCCAATGATGGGCCGAAAAGAGGCTATATGTGTTGGATGGATTACACCAGACAGAAGAGTGAGGGGGCAGGCTGGGTGTAACCCCAGGTGATATGGGCATTCATATGGTTTTCATATCCTTACATCTTCAGGTTCATCATAATTAGGGTATATAACCAGCATCAACAATCAAAATCTAGTGGTTTTGTGGTTATCTCTGGTTCCATGCTTCCTTCACCCTCATAGATTCTGCCAGACTCTGGTCCTTGCTTCTAGTAAGTAACGAAGGGGTCACAGAGGCCTGGTGTCTTGGGATGAGGCTTGGTGGACCCAGAGCTAGGCTTGGGAAGCTACTAAGGGATCCATTTTGGAAAGCCTATTAGCAGTTATATTTACCCAAATCAGAATCTTCAATATTGCTTAAAACAACATAAAACTACAGCATACAAATGCAGAAAAATCCACTATGTTAACTACACATTAACCTACAAAATTAAGTCATCTTCCCTTATACGGGAAATAGGATTGAAGAAATGGTTAAATACAGGCCTGAGCATAAAACGTGAAAAGGAAAGTGATGTTTTAATAAGTTTTAATAAGAATGGCAGGGGTCAGAAACCCACTGTACAGAGATAAAATTTTCATCTTACTCAAAAATGCATGTATGTCGTACTTAATGGCTAGAACACCACTACTTGGCCTAGTGAGCAACTGTATTTTTTAATATTTATTTCAAAATTAGCTTGCTGCTAATAATATTAATATATTATGCTAACAACATAATTTCTAACTTAAGCCTAGTTTTACCTATGTTAGGAGTACAGTATTGAGCAATAATTAGCATATTTAAGTCAGATCAGGATGTTTAATTAAATTTGACTCAAATTTTTAAAAATCCCCATTACATATTTTATAATAAAAAACTCATTCCATAAGATAAAAATAAAAAAAAAACAATTAATACTGTAAAGAAAATTTGGCTTGTCAGACAATTTTAGCCATTAGGTACAATATACAGTATATATTACAATATATATAAAATTAAGGAACTGCAGGCAAAAACCGTAGAATTTGTACAGGTCTTGAAATAGCTCACCCTTGATTATTTGGTTGGAGGTGTTTTACATTTAACTTTGGCTTCAAGATATGCAGATCAATGTATGCGGGTAAACTTGCCCCCCTCCTGCCTAGACACGTACATATACTGTACTTCAAAACTGATTCATTCCTGCCTGAAAGCAAACAAAAAATATAATTTTTTTTCTCACACAAACATTGTAATGTACGAGGCAATCATGCCATATGGTCTAAAAAAATATCTTATGCCATATGGCAACACGTCAGTAAAATTGAAAATATTAATATGTTGCTAAATATATGAAGATTAAATAATTAGAACACAAACCTATTCTACAAATACAAGCAAATGCTTGTATGCTTGTATTTCATACAACAATATTTTATGCACATTTTTGTGTATATCAAGCATATTTTATGCTCGTTCATAAAAGAACCTACGCTATGATACAAATTTGCTGCTAACTTCAGATTCAGAACATAAGCAATTAGTAGATGAAAAAAAAGCCAAGTGTTTGTTAAAAAAAAATAGCATAGGAAATACTGTACTGTCCTGAAGTGACATTTATGGAACAGGTTGTTGGGTAATATAATAGATATGGGGCCATTGGATTGTTTCAAGCATAGGCTAAACATATAGTACTGTATAGTTAACTTCACATACATACATACATACATACATACATACATACATACATACATACATACATACATACATACATACATACATACAGTGTGTATGTATGTGGGGGCCTGATAGCTGAGTGGAGAGCGCTCTGTGCTCGTAATCCTAGGTGGATTAACACCACAGCCCAACCGAGCTGTGGTGGGTATGTGGGCCTGCAAGCCGCTCCAAACAACAGCCTGGTGGACCAAACTTTCACATGTCAAACCTGGCCTCGGGCCGGGCTTGGGAAGTAGAACAACTCCCAGAACCCCATCAACCAGGTATCAACCAGGTAGGGTCCTGGTTTGATCCCAGTGATGGCAGAAACAAAATGGACAGTTTCTTTCACCCTGATGCCGCTGTTACCTAGCAGTAAATTGTTACCTGGGGATTAGACAACTGTTACGGGCTGCTTCCTAGGAGTGTGTGTGTGGAGAAAAAAAAATTAGTTAGTAGTTAGTGATTGACAGTTGAGAGGCGGGCTGAAAGAGCTGAGCTCAACCCCCTGCAAGCACAACTAGGTGAACAACTAGGTGAACACATACATAAATTCATACATACATTCATACATACATACACATACACACACACACACACACACACACACACACAAAGCGTTATATGACAAAGAGTGCTGGGAAGACGGGACACCACGAGCGAAGCTCTCATCCTGTAACTACACTTAGGTAATTACACACACACACACACACACACACACACACACACACACACACATCACACACACTTGATACACACACACCTGACACCACACACACACACGAGGACACCACGCTTTCACTTCACACTATAAATACTGTACATAATACAACAAATTGCAGGTAAAGGATTATATATGCAGAGGTTGAAAATGGGAAATAGATTCACGAAGATGAAAAGGAAATGTGTGAAACACTAAACGAAAAGTTCCCAAAGTGTGTTTGTACAACAATGAAATCTTAGGGAACCAGATACAATAAGAATTCCAGAAAACAACATAGAACACATAGAGGTGTCTAGAGACGAAGTGGAAAAAAAGCTCAAGAGACCTCGGTAAGAACAAAGCAGCTGGCCATAGATGGCGTTTCACCATGGGTTCTGAGAGACATGTGCATCTGAGCTCAGCATTCCACTTCACCTGATCTTTCAGGCATCCCTGTGTACAGGAATCGTGTAGCAGACGGGTGGAAACAGGCTAACATAGTTCCAATCTACAAAAGTGGCAGCAGGGAAAGACCCCTGGGTCAATTATAGGACCTGTATCATTGACAAGTGTAATAGTGAAAGTATTGGAAAAAGTAATCAAAACTAAATGGGTAGAACACTCTAGAGAGAAATGATATAATATCAGACAGACAGTATGTATATACAGTACTTTACCTGAATAAATATTTGTATTTGTTCTATTTGTAAACAAAATGGGCAGAGTTTCTTTCACCCAGATGCTCCTGTTCACCTAGCAGTAAATAAGTACCTGGGAGTTAGATAGCTGTTATGGGCTGCTTCCTGGGGGGGGGGGAATTGTTAGTAGTAGTTAGTAACAGTTGATTGATTGACAGTTGAGAGGTAGGCCGAAAGAGCAGAGCTCAACCTCCACGAGCACAACTAGGTGAATGCACGTACATACATACATACATACATACATACATACATACATACATACATACATACATACATACATACATACATACATCCCACCGCTGCCACCATTAAAGAGGCGGGACCAAAGAGCCAAAGCTCAACCCCCGCAAGCACAATTAGGTGAGTACATACATACATACAAAATATAAAAGTTTAAAATGTAAAAAACCAGCGTTGAATGTAATGAAACGCCATTTTCTGGGTGAGTCCCGGAGGCTCCCCGGAGCTATCCCAGGCTGATATGCTAATGTCAGACTTTGGCATCAGTCATGTGTATGGAGTTCTTAGGCCTACCGGGGACCACGGCCAGAACCGGGCCCCCTCAGAGAGGCAAGGGGAGCAATGGCCTATAGAAGCCCCCGTGTAGTTGGAAGCATTCTATGTCTGCCATCGACCGGAACAGGCACCCAGAAAGGTAAGCGCCCCAAAACAAACCCCTATTCTGGTTAAAATTGCTACCTAAAACCGAACTAGTGGATAGAACTCCCCAACCGAAAACAAGCAAACTAGTGTGACGTCACACACTGCCGCGCCGCTGTCTGCGCAGCTCCCCCCTCCCCGGGAGGGGGAAGGGGGAGCCCCAGACCCCCCGCGCCGGCTACCCACACCTCAGTTCTTGAGGCTGGATGTCAAAAACGCGAAAAACCGCCGACCGGAGGGAGGGAGGGGTGCCGGGGAGCCTCCGGGACTCACCCAGAAAATGGCGTTTCATTACATTCAACGCTGGTTTTCTGGGGGGAGCCCCGTCGGCTCCCCGGAGCTAACTACCCACAGACAGAAAAAGAGGGACTTACCCGGGAGGCGGTCGTCGCTCACCCCTCAACTCGAAGCCGAGACAACTGGCTGCAACCGCCGACCCAAAGCAACACAGGCCCGACGAGGCCCAGGGACATTCACAAGGTAACGAGCAGCCAGGACCCTGTTCGACCGCCAAAATCCCCGCACCCGAATATCAGACCAAGACATATTCCCAAAGACGGCAGCAAGAGCCGCGAACTTACGAACGTCATGGGCACGGGGATAGACCGCAGGCTGGCTGGATCTAATAACCCTGCGGACGACCTGAGAGACCCGAACCCGCGAACAGGGAAGAAGGGAAACCGGATCAACCCACAGCGCGTCCCCGGACACAGAAGCTGTGGCACGCAAATAACATTGACAAGTGTAATAGTGAAAGTATTGGAAAAACTAATCAAAACTAAATGGGTAGAACACCTAGAGAGAAATGATATAATATCAGACAGACAGTATGGTTTTCGATCTGGAAGATCCTGTGTATCGAATTTACTCAGTTTCTATGATCGAGCCACAGAGATATTACAGGAAAGAGATGGTTGGGTTGACTGCAACTATCTGGACCTAAAAAAGGCTTTCGACAGAGTTCCACATAAGAGGTTGTTCTGGAAACTGGAAAATATTGGAGGGGTGACAGGTAAGCTTCTATCATGGATGAAAAATTTTCTGACTGATAGAAAAATGAGGGCAGTAATCAGAGGCAATGTATCGGAATGGAGAAATGTCACAAGTGGAGTACCACAGGGTTCAGTTCTTGCACCAGTGATGTTTATTGTCTACATAAATGATCTACCAGTTGGTATACAGAATTATATGAACATGTTTGCTGATGATGCTAAGATAATAGGAAGGATAAGAAATTTAGATGACTGTCATGCCCTTCAAGAAGACCTGGACAAAATAAGTATATGGAGCACCACTTGGCAAATGGAATTTAATGTTAATAAATGTCATGTTATGGAATGTGGAATAGGAGAACATAGACCCCACACAACCTATATATTATGTGAGAAATCTTTAAAGAATTCTGATAAAGAAAGAGATCTAGGAGTGGTTCTAGATAGAAAACTATCACCTGAGGACCACATAAAGAATATTGTGCAAGGAGCCTATGCTATGCTTTCTAACTTCAGAATTGCATTTAAATACATGGATGGCGATATACTAAAGAAATTGTTCATGACTTTTGTTAGGCCAAAGCTAGAATATGCAGCTGTTGTGTGGTGCCCATATCTTAAGAAGCACATCAACAAACTGGAAAAGGTGCAAAGACATGCTACTAAGTGGCTCCCAGAACTGAAGGGCAAGAGCTACGAGGAGAGGTTAGAAGCATTAAATATGCCAAAACTAGAAGACAGAAGAAAAAGAGGTGATATGATCACTACATACAAAATAGTAACAGGAATTGATAAAATCGACAGGGAAGACTTTCTGAGACCTGGAATTTCAAGAACAAGAGGTCATAGATTTAAACTAGCTAAACACAGATGCCGAAGAAATATAAGAAAATTCACCTTCGCAAATAGAGTGGTAGACGGTTGGAACAAGTTAAGTGAGAAGGTGGTGGAGGCCAAGACCGTCAGTAGTTTCAAAGCGTTATATGACAAAGAGTGCTGGGAAGACGGGACACCACGAGCGTAGCTCTCATCCTGTAACTACACTTAGGTAATTACACTTAGGTAATTACACACACACACACACACACACACACACACACACACACACACACACACATACACACACACACAAAGATCTTGGGGTAGTTCTTGATAGAAAACTATCACCTGAGGACCACATAAATAACGTTGTGCGAGGAGCCTATGCCACGCTTTCTAACTTCAGAATTGCTTTTAAATACTGTACATGGATGGCGATACTGTATACTAAAGAAATTGTTCACGACTTTTGTTAGACCAAAGCTGGAATATGCAGCGGTTGTATGGTGCCCATATCTTAAGAAGCACATCAACAAATTGGAAAAGGTGCAAAGACATGCTACTAAGTGGCTCCCAGAATTGAAGGACAAGAGCTACAAAGAGAGGTTATAGGCATTAA